AACAGATTGTGGCTTCATAAATTTGTCAATAGAGCATACGGAGAGATGAGGAGACGACAGAGAGAATTCCCATTATTCCACAGATCTTCAAAATAAACGTCCAAATTTAAAAAGGGTTGTATTTGAAAAAGTTGTAAACTGACTTGATGTACGGGTCATAGAGTCAGTAGTTGCAACTCGCCTGTTCCATGCGGTTAGTAAGTAGACACGGATAGCTGCAATGCACCTCGTTCACATTGATGGTTGGAACAGGCTGACTATTCACGTCCGAAATAATACCAGAATCCCAGGGCAATACTTGCCTAAATGCCTGGAGGCTGTGAAGACGGGGTTTATTTGGTTTTAAACTTCTGACTAGGCTGACTGATGTTTTAACAACCGAGACCTTCCGCATAACACATAACCTGATACAGCCCGTGCATGTTGATCCTTACTGTCGCACACATCTGGAACTCATACAAAATACAGATTTTCTTGAATGTAGACCTTCGCCCATATCGACACATTTAACAAATATTTTTTCCATTTTAAAGTGACGAAAGAATTAGCTATACTATGAAAAGCTGTATACTAACCAGATTGATGATTGGAATGAACATGCCAAAACTTCCAACCGTTATAGAAATGACGACAAAAGTGTAAACAGGAAATGTCCACACGCTGCCGTAAAAAGTGATTCTACCCTTAGTTTCTACTTTTTGTTCCACGTCTAAGGTTACTGATTCCACATCCACCTCCGATGTTGTCTCTACATTTGGATTGAAATTCAAACTCAAAATGCAAACAAGAGCGAAGGTTGCCTTCATTACTCTAAACGTGTTTCTCCATCCAAACGCGTCCAAAAGAGCCTGCAGCAACGGGCCTGTGTAAAGGAAAGCTGCACCAGATCCTGATGTGGTTATACCAACAGCTAACGAGAGTGTTTGTTTGAAATACGTTCCAACAACCAGATAATAAGAGTTGTAAATGAAACACGCCGCCATTCCGCATATCAAACCGTAAGTAAAGTGCATGACAGCGGGGCTTTTAGCGAAGGAGGTCGCTAACAAACCTGCAATGCATAGGATTCCTCCCATAAAACATGTGATGCGACATCCAAAGTGATCACATAGTTATACAGCCAGAAAACTGGCAAACCAAACCAAGGTCAGGCCGATGGCCGGGAACCAACCCAGGCTGTTAAAAAGACGATTTTCATTGATATTAGTTCCTTTCATATCAGTATTTTAAGTACCAATACAAAGTCAGCTGGATGTCTATAGGAAAAACATTCTAATGGTTGTGGACATTTCAAGAGGACATTATCTTGTTCCTCTTGAGATAAGTCTAGTGTCACAATCCCGCATCTTATCTGCATTATGAGCCAGGACGCACATGGGTCACGTATTAATAAGATCTTAGAGCTTTGTGCAGCGCTGGAAACCTCTTTATTACAACAATTTACGAACTAAACATCTGCAGCTTTACCACTTGGTCATGTAAGGTCACTTAAGTGGACACACCGTAATAAATGTTTAGAAAATCTGAGTTCATTCGTTTATGCTTTCATGATTTCCAACGGATCATTTAAATATTTATTATTTTTTAATTTTAATTTTTTTCTATATATTATACTTACATATGTACTTACACTATACTTACTTCTTACGCGATGCTTACACTACATTAACTTGTACTACTTACATATATTATAACTCAATTACACTAGTCAAACTAAATTACAGTTGAGCTATTTAAGTTATTGCTTGCATGTTAATTGTTCGAGTCACTAATAAGAATTTTGTTTCTTAATTACACTACATGGGGTATTAATTTTCTAGAATTAATAGATTATTAAATAAATTGATAGCGAAAAGAAACAAATCAAAATACAAAAGTTTAGAAGAAAAAGGACACAATACAATTTTATAAAGACAGAAAAAATTTCCATTTGTTCCTCAATTCCTTCTCCTTATTACAAGTGACTGCAACATATTTTTCTAGATTAATTTTTTCGCGCACAAGTGAGACAAAATCATCGAATTAGTACGTTATGGTATTTAGAGCGTTAACATATAAGAAATATTTACCCAAAATAATGAGATGGTTGAGGAATAAACAGTAGGTGTGACAGCGAATAATTCCGAACATAACCTCCAGTTCTGACAGCAGCAGTTTCGTATTACTAGAGATTGAGTACCACTCCTGGAAT